GAGCCATTTGGGCTAATGGGGTGTAATTTAAGGAATGAGCTATTCTAGTGTAGAAGCAAAAATTCTCTTCTATCTCTGAAACCAAAAGTTCTCTTCTTCTATCTCTAAAAGCAAAGGTTCCCTTCTCCTATCTCTGTTCAGGTCAGATTGCAGCTTCTTTCAAGATCTATGTTCTCCAGTTATTTTCTGAGCTGCGGATGAATGCTGCATCCCTCCATGCACTTTATGAATTGCAGGGACATAATCTGGTGTATTATAGTCTCACCTTGGCTTGCAAAAGGTTTTCAGCTCTGAAACCGTAGCACATCCTGTCCTTCTTTCCTTTGGCTTTGGCCCCTCCTTCTTCACTGACCTTGGTGTTGCCCTGTTGCTTTCTTCACATGCCTTCACCTTTCCTTTTCTCTGACTTGGGGAGAAGATTTGCCTTCATAGATTTATGTGTTCTCATATGGAATTCTGCGGCGCTGAAAAAGGTCAGTCTTGCCTGGGCCCTGCATCAGGGAACTGCGGAGGACTTGCTCTATGTGAGAGTCCGTGTGAGGGATGTGTCGCAGCCATCTGCTAATGTGTGACCAGGCAAGGACAAGTAACCTTGGGTGTTTGCATATGGTATCTGTGGGAAAATGAATTGACACTGAAGAGGTTCAGTAAAGATGGAAAGGAGATATGAAGATACCCGTTCTCTGAGGTAAGACTGAATGGTCATGGTGTGTTCAGTCCACAAAAAGATGGTGGAAGGAGAAAATTCAGTTTTTCCATGACTAATTTCCAGGATTAATCAACAGAAAAAAACTTCCAAAAACCTCCAGTTTAAAAAGATTGCTTGTGCAAGAACAAATTTATGAAAAGTGAAACAAATTAAATGATAGGCCATAACTGACACTGCAATCAGGTTTTGGCAAGATCTCATAGCGTAAGATGGGTAAGCCTGGAAAGAAATCTACTTTTATGATTGTGTTTGGTAAGTTTATAAAACATCTAATGTCATAGTCTTTTAGAGACAAAGCTGCTGGAGTTTTCAGAGATGATATTACTGAAGAGTTTATCCAGATTGTGTATTCAATGTAAATTCATCTATGTACCTGAGGTCTTGCCTTATCTAATGTATTTTTCCTCTTTCTGGCACTGACCAATTTACAAAAAGCGTGAAATTTATAGTTAAGTTTGTCTGCCCTTTGACAGATTAAAAAAAGAAGTCTCCTTGAAAAAAATATCTTTACTGGTGGGTGAAAAACGCCTGACATTCTTTTTACAGACTCACAGCTGCTTAATGGCAAAATATAGATTATTTGTTATTCCCTGTCAGTGTTGATGAATCAATGGTATGAAGTGGTATGTTTCTCCTTGCATTGTGCTAGGAGATAGACAAAGGTTATTTGAAAAGTAAATTGACTGAGGTGGCATACTGGTAAAATGGATACCTTCTGTAGAAAATGGTGGCAAGGTGTAGGAAATAATTTAATAGGACGATCACTAAAAAAAGGAACCTGCCTATAAAGTGGGCATGTAGTGAATTTGAATATGAGTGATCTGTGTTAATCAAAGAACCCATGAAGTTATTTTAATAATTGCAGTCTGAGGCTTTTAAACTTTCCAGGCAGTTATGATACAACATAAAACTTTTGAAATGGAAGAAATTTGGATTAGCCTAGTATTTTGTTGTCTACTCAGGCAGGAAAGTACAGAGAGCATGTGAATATTTTCCTGTAGTGGATTGATGACAGGTTGATGTCTCCTGCCTGTAAAGGCTGTCTTTCTGAAGGAACAGCAGTTACTTACAAACTACTTGCACTTTGCTGCAATTACTCAAATTCAGTGAGATTTATTTGCTTCCAGGTTGGAATGGAAAATAACTTCAAAATGTGCAGTCAGTCTACAGGGGTAGATTGTGAGTGGAGAATAAACATATCTAAAGAGACAGAGCTACAGGAAATCTCTGAAAATACTGGAAATCATCTTTGGTGTGGGTTGGTGACTTTTTTGTCAGAAATTAATCTTCTTTTCCTATTCATACCTGGTTTCACCCAAAAGCTTATTACTATTAATAAACTTGAATAAACAAAGTGTTGAGAAGATTTCAGGCCATCTGGAGAAAAATTCTTACTTACATATATATAGGATAAATATGCAGAATTTCCACAGTAAAAATTGCATCAAGTAAAATCTTCTAAGATTTTCAGTGAGCAAATGCAGAAATGCTCTTTGCTTCTGAATCCTTTCCCTTGCTTACACAGCACTGGGTCAGGATAATTGAGGTTATCTCAATTGTATCAGGATTATTTCTAGTAATGCAGGTATAGCATCCCCTGTGTTTCTGTCCTGATTGTTGCTTTGCTGTTATAATTGCACTTTTGCTCTGCATGACTATATTCTAGATGGAAGAGCTTTACTCTATATATGGCACCATCTGTTGTCATTGGAAAGCACTGCCAACTGAAAACAAACCTATGCATCCTGTAACTGGAAAATGTTACTTTTTTTAGGGGTTATTGAGACCTATTGAGCTGGGTTCTGTGAATCTGGGAGCTGAGCTGCCAAACAGAGATCCTAGAGGAAGCACTCTTGTTGCAGTGACCTGGAGGGTGGCACGAAGTTAAGATCTGTGCACCTGAAGGCCCTGGTGACCAGGGAGTGCCATCTGCCACCAAAGTGGAGGAACTGCTCTAAAGCAAATAATAGCACACTTAAAAGGCCCTTAGCAGGCCTATCGAATAGCTCACTTGATGTTCCAATTAAGACATCAGTGCATATTACGATTTTGCCCCGTCTCTGCTGTTATAGCGATACCTAGGACCCCAGAAGAGGCTGGTCTGGCTGGTGATCTCTCAGCCCACACCCTGCAAGCTGTTGTCTCTGAGTTAAAGAGAGAGCCTAGCTGCCTGAGCTTTACATATTTGCTATAGCAATATTTTCTGTCACTGGATCCAACTGTTCTGACAGCAGCCCCATGGAGGGATGCTGCTGCCTTTCCTTCACTATGCCATCACCTGAAGCAGAGCCGGTTCTGACTGTGGGCCAGCATAACTCTGTACAATCACTCCAATGTCTGCATATAATGTCCCAGAAGAGATTATTTAGTTTGGGTTTGTGCTTCACATCATGGTGATGGACTTAATCCGTGTTTTGTAGGATTGAGATCCATGTTTTGTAGGACTTGAGGGACCTCAGGGCCCTTGCTCTGGCCAGCCTGGCAAGTTCCCTATGCTGATATAGGCATCCAGTGTCTTAAGGCTACCATCTGCTGGCTAATGGTAGCAAAATGAGCCAGTGATTTGTTAGAAGTACCTCCGTTCACTAAAGTGGGTGCTAGAGCCATCTTAATCAGCAGGTAGAGATTGAAGAGCAAGTAAGAAAGCTGCAGTGACAGTGGATATGAGTTGTAAATAATACCAAATTTAAGCTGACTGTTTTAAGCCTTGACAGAAGAATTGAATTTTATCAGTGTCTTTTCTGACTTCAAAAGGTCCATCACTGTTTACTTGACGTTATCTTGCTAGGAACCTGTGAGTCTCAGTTCTGATCTTTTGCATGCTTTTATAGATTTTCTTAGCTTGGTTGGTCTAGAAAACAGGATTTCCAAAGAAAGCGAAGAATTTGCAAAGTTTTTGTGTGCACTTGTTCTCTCTTCTCTATGTGCCTATCAGTATTGTTCCTCGTGATTATTTTAGCTACAAAAAAAACCTCATGGATAGTAACTATTCTTCTTGAAAACTCTCTTTTTTCAGCTGTAGTTTAATATTGGGAGAATTTCACAGAGTTGTTTATGCTCTTGACTAACTGTGTACCAGTGGGGTCCCAGCAATGTTGAGGTATGCCAATATGAATCTGAGGCAGAAAATAGGCAGGATTTGTACAGAATTGTTTTTATTCTAAGTGATATTTATATGCAGTTCTAAAGGTCAGAGGATTCCTTTGCACAGGAATTTAATTTAATTTGCTATTAAATCAACCTCTGGGCTTCCAAAATTACTGGAACATTTAATTTATATAGGTGCAATAATCTTACTTTTTTTCTTACTGTACTCATTAATGCAATTGGTGTTACTGTGAGCAGTCTTTTCTCCTATTCTTATTGGTAACCTGAAATGTTGCTGTATTCCATATCTATCTGTGCCCAAAAATTATTACAATCTCTTTAAGAGCCTGCAAACAGAAATGAAACCAGGATGGTGATGAGGGTGTTGCCATGGTCCCCTTTCAAGTCTGAGGCTGAAAGCAGAGAATATCTCTCTCCTGGCAGTGTTTGCTGAAGGCTCTGCTTTGGAATGGGTTGCTTTGGACTGGCAACAATAGCCACCTGAAAAAACTGTATTTCACAATCAAAAACTGTTTCAGAGAGAACTTTGCAAAATCTATGAGCAGTGTGAAGCTTGAGCTGGTCCCTGGGGCTGGGCCTATCCACGTCTGTGCCTATAGGCCAGTTCTTCCCCCGCGACAGGGAGGACAGCAGCATCAGTGGGAGCCAGCAGGAAGCGGTGGGCAGCAGAGCTGACTCCATACAGTCTGGCAGCTCCCACCTGCCACTAGAACTGCTTTGTAAACTCTGCCTTCATGGGATGGCTCTTTTTGTCCATTATCTTTTTTCTCCCTTTGTCTCCAGACTGCACAGTCAATTCGAGTGCCATTTATCCCTTTGTCTTTCAAGTGACACGAGAGTCTGTGGGGGTTGTCATCTTGGAAGGAAGGGTTACCCCACCATTCATTTCCATGAGTTTGTGAAATTTAACTATTTTGTATCTAGTGATTATTTACTGTTATTTTTTGCCTGTTGGTCTTTTGATTGTTATTAAACTTATTTTTTCACTTATATCTACTCATATTAATTTCTTAATGGTGGAAACTATTATGATTGGTTGAAACTAAAAAGATTAATTTTAGAGTGCTTACCTTTTTATTGTCTTAAACTAAGACACCTATATATGCATAAAAATTTATATTATCATTAATCTTAACATAACATTAAAGTTTATTGGTTTTTTCTTTGTATTTTCTTTTTTCAGTTGCAAATGAGACAGGTGATAAACATCCACAGCCACTTTTACAATTTGCCCGTAAGTAGCCTTTTTCATTTTAACTGATTGATTTCTATACCTACTGTAAAAATAAAAACATTTAATAATTCTTTTAATCTTATATTGTCTGTCCTATATTATGTGTCATTTACAGTACTAAACCAAAGAAGAATAATATTTGATTGAAAAAGTCCCCTACAAAAATTCAGTCTTACTGAGCAGAGCTGATGCAAATTTAAATGAATGGAAGACTTTTTGCCTTACTCTTATTTCAAGCATAAAAAATTATAAATGTCTCAAAACCACTGAAGTTCACTACGGTGCTTACAAAGAGCTTTGTGTCAAATCTTAAAAATAATGTTGAAATGAGATAATGAAATAATGAAAAATTATATTGAAATCATGAAAAATGTTATTAAACCTTACTGGTATCTCATTTATCACTTTGCTTCACTCAAAAAGATTAAAAACTGCAACTATGGCTTGGGATTTGGAATAACTGACCCAAATTTGAATAATATAATATAACACCAACTGACCATGACCGTGACCATATTGTTTTCATTCTCTCTCCATTTCATGAGCACTGTGGGTGATATGGCATTTGAGACACAAGAAGATTATGTATGAGAATGACTGCTCAGCAGAAAAGCCAGAGGGAAAAGTGAGAGGCAACTCAAAATAATGATGGAATATGGTCAGCTGGAGTAAAACCAATTCTGCCAAAGAAATATTTAATCACCATGACTAGATAATTTCATGAGAAAGCCCATAGAGGGATGGAAGCAATAGCTAAGCAAGTACAGGAAGTATGGGTGGCTCCAGGAATTTTTGCTGCTGCAGAATGAATCACAAATAACTGCTCAGCTTGCCAGAAATTCTCAAGTATCGCTCTGAGCTCTGAGACCATTGGGTTACTTGGTAGTGATAGTAAATTATCTGTCAGGCTGGGCAGCAGCTTTTCCAAAAAGAAGGGTTGACACACAAGTAGTAAAAGCCTTGCTAAATGAAGTTATATCTGAATATGGGATAACAGAGTAAATTGAATTAATGAGACAGAGGTGCTCCTTTTACAGCAAATATGGTCAACAAACTGTGTAAGTCTTTGGAGATTGAGAGGAAATTACATATACCATATCACCCAGGGTGTTCATGAAATGTAGAGAGAATTAATACAATGTTAAAAATTAGTAAAAGTATGTCAATCCACTTATCTGAAATGGCCAGAAGCCTTAAACTTGGTTCTGTGGGATATACAAAATGCTGTATGGTGACCTGTAGGACTCTGTGTAAAATCTCACGGGAGGCACTTAGCTATGCGACCAGCTTATTGAGTAGACATGATCATTTGATACAGTATGTTGTATATATGAAGGAAGGGTTTGAAGAGCAGAGAAAGTATGCATAATGATATCATAGAATTTCATGGATTGGGAAGGACTCCCTAGGATCATCGAAGTCCAACTCCTGGTCCTGCACAAGACAGTCCAACAATTACACCATGTGTCTGAGAGCAGTCTTGAACTCTGGCAGACTTGGTGTGGTGACCACTTCCCTGGGGATCTTGTTCCCAACCACCCGCTGGCTGAAAAGCTTTTTCCTGACAGCTAACCTAATACAATTCCCAGCCCTCACCCATCACTGGTAACCAGAGAGAAGAGATCAGTGCTCGCCCCTGTGCTTTGTGTTGTGAGGAAGCTGTAGACAACTATGAGATCTCCCCTTCTTCTTCTAGGCTTAAACAAGCCAAGTTACCTCAGCCACTCCCCATAGGGCTTCTCCTCCAGACTCTTCACCATCTTAGTACTCATGTAGTGTCAGCCCACATCAGCTGAAACAGATACATAAATGTACAGCCCAGAAAGGAAGTTTTAAATAAGGTATTGTTTAGAAAATCCAAATTAGAACCCAGATAAGAGGACAAAAAGGGTAGTTATAATAGAAGACTCCTTTCTAAGGGGATCAGACCTTGGAAAATGACTACTAGCAGAGTTAGTTTGTATTACTATTTTGGAATGTGGTAAGATTAATAATGCTTGCTGCACCTCTGTTGTGGGAAGTCAGTACCTAGCTGTACTTATTCAGTCTGCTAGTTCAGTCATGTATCATTCTATAATTCTTGAAAATTAGAATATGACAGAGGTGTTAAATATTGGAGTATTGCTGGGATTTTCAGAAGTGCCTGATTTATTCAGAAACTCTTTGGAAATATTTGAAAATGTGAAGCAGACACTTAACAAAATTTAAGTCACATGCTCTCTTCTCCTGAGGCAGGGAGGACATCTGACTGAAAGATGCTAATTGTACTTTGTCAGTGGAACTATATTTACGAATAAGGATAGATTCTCTGAATGACATGCAAGAGCCACTTGACGGCACTTATAAATTAATGTAAAAAAAAAAAATCCATAGAAATTTTTTGGCATGTTTTTTAGCCAGTTCTTTGGCTAAAGACCCACATCAATACATACTAAGCAACAACTTAAGTGTGGAGAGGATGTTTTTTGTTGAGGTGTGAAAGCTTCATGTTCTATAATAAAATATTTTTATAGGAAGCATTACAGTTTTGCATATGGAATGACCCTAGTGTTTGTGCTTATTTCCACTTTGAATTTTTTTCAGGTTTGCAGGCTTATTCCCAAACTGTGGTCATGCAAAGGTAAAATGATAGCAGACCACCTTTGTTTTTCAGAATTCTGACACAGCAGGCAATAAGCCTATGAATTTATTTTCCTTCTTACTCTGTTTTTTTCAGGGTCTAAATCACAAAATTGCTTATGTAACACCATTATTGGTGGGTTGACCAGCAACCTTAAAGAAAGGCCAAAGTTGACCATTAACAATGACCCTAGACCTCCTGAAGAAATTTTAGCAGATGAACTACCGCCAGTGGACAGTCCTGAGGCATTGGTGAAAACATCTTTCAGGTCTGATTGATATGATTTTACTTCATTTATCTTTCAGAGAATATATTTTTAAGATTAAACCTGCAGTGTGGGTTTGGTGACAGAAACTGATACTAAAAGATTCTGTAATGCTGCATATCTTTGTACTCAAAAACAGTGTAAAAAAATCATAAATAATATTGACTGGATTTGCCTTTAATTTCTTACACTTCATTAGCCTCCCTAAAAAATGATTTACTAGTCAGAAAGTCTGGAACTAGTCAAAACAATCAGCAAAGACAGCTCATTATATGAAGATGTCTTTGAAGGTTGGTATTGTTTCATTTGAAGATTGGTATTGTTTCATTTAAAAGCGATTTAATGATGAATAATTGCACCTTAGGTCAGATGATGAGCTTCATTGATGCAAGGGTAAGTTAGAGATTTTCCTATTGATGCACTGCCTTGAGAATTGTCTAGCATTAATTTATGAAATTTCTGCTGTTGTAAAGTGTTATATCTCACACTATTGAAGTGTGATATATATATTGCTGTGTTTTTCACTCTTTTATTTAATGCTGTTGATGTACAGTTGCCTCTTGGAGACATATTTTCTGAAAATTTTTCCCTCAAAGTGAGGTAAAATAGAGAAGCTGTAGGGCATACAATGGATTTTTCACTGAAATGTGAAAATTGGTGTGCCCAGAAAAAGCAAAGTGAGTGGCAGAATTGATTTTTCAAAATGCTTTTTGAGCTTATTTTTTTGTTGTTGAAAATTTGTGCTCTACTTTTCTTTTGTATTGAATGTTCCTGTGTTTAAAACAATGTTCCTTGATTTGGATAGATTTCTCTGACTACGGTGATTTTGATTATACCTGAGTCTGTGAAACTTAATTCACTCTTCATGCAATTATTATTTTGAAGGTATTTGTTTGAGTCATTATATTGGGTTGTAATTTCAGGTATTTGCTCATACTGCTTGATGTTTAAAAGCATAATACCATAATGTGGGTTTATGCCAGTCTATATAAATATCCCTGTAATTTCATAGTGGATTCTCATTCTTTAATATTCACATTTAGATGATTCAGGACAAGGGTATCAGAACCTCCTTTTATGATGGCCTATGGTATTTAATGACTTAAAAACTTTGTATCTCTGATATTTAAAATCTATAATTTCAAGAGATCTGAGTATTTGTCAACTTCTGGTAACAAAATATGGGTAGCAGCATTCCTTATATTGCCATTGTCAAGAAAATTTTAAACATTTAATGCAGCAAAATAGTGTCACAGCATTTCAAATGGCATAGCATAATAAAGACTGATGAGTCAGAAAACATAATTTAACAAAACAGTTTTCTTAATACAGTTTAAAAGGCTTTATAAACATCACAGAACCTCTGTATTGTATCAATATAGATATGACTGTATAATGTGGTATTTTGGGGGACTTTATAGATGGAAATCCAAACAATTTGTTGTTAAAAAATATATAGTAAATGCCTAGTTTTTCAAAGAAACAAAGTCCTATGTGTGCTTAATAGCTTTGCAGAGTAGTGGAAGATAAGAGTTGTCTTAGTTTGTAAAAAAGGCGTTAGCCAAGGTAGGTGGGAATCTCCCTTGGAATGGAAAATATGACCCCCTTCCATACAAATTATTATAATTTTGAAATCAAGGGGCTTTCAAGCAAAGATAAAGGGAAAGGAATAACAGCTCTTTACCAGAATATATCTGTATAACAAGGCAGACAAACAGCCACAAGGGCAGCAGAAGGAGCAGCAGCACAAGCCCAGTGACGCCTTCTCTGGGCCGCAGGCACTTTCCCCTCCAGTGCAGTTCCGGGCACAGCCGGCAGGGGGCGCTGGTGGCTCCCGGCCAGGCAGGGCGGGTGCGATGATTCCCCCGCGCCGGCAGGGGGCGCTGTGGCGCGGGCCCGGCCGCCTCTCCCCACACGGGCAATGGCCGCGCTGCCGGCGGGAGAGACAGAGCGGGGCTTCAAACACACAAACTCACGGGGGGCAGCTGGTCCCAGTGCCCCCTCTGGATGGTGAAATGGATTGTAGCAGGAACCTCTGGGCAGCAGTTGGAACTGCAGAGGTGGGCACACTGGGGATAGCAAACAAAATGTAGCAGAAACTCAGCTGTAGCAGGAGCTACAGTCCTAGCAGGTGTCCTGGCAGGCAGGAGTTCTGGGTTACAGTGTAGTGAAAAACCCAGAGTAGTGGCAGAGAAGTGTCAGGGCTGGGCAGTGGCAGCTGGGTTCCCTCACACAGCTGGGAGAGGCTCCCTCGAAAGGGGGCTTGGGGTCCCTAAGGCACCCGAGCAGATGGTGATGGTCCTTTCCAGTGAGATAGGGTGTTAATAAGGTCCCAGTCCAGTAGTCCCAGTCTTATGAGCAGAGCTTCTCTCATGGTAGGAGAAGACAGCAGGAGATGGAAACCCTCAGTGGTAGAGAATTTTACCCACAGCAACCACAGACTGTCTCCCGTTTGATCCTGAGAGTGAAAGCCTCAGTGAGATCTTGAGAGTGAGAGTCCAGCCCCTCACACCCCAGCCAAAATCTCCCAGTATCTCTCCCTTCCCAAGAGAAAGCCCCTCAGCTATGAGAATGCAGCCAAATGCACCCCTCCCCCACACCATGGCATTTCTTTTATCTCCTAAATATCCCTTGTTACTGTCTCTTAGCAACAAATTGGACAAAATTCCCTGAGAGAAAGAAAAGGAAAAATCCTAACCTCTAGGGAGAGCACATTGCAATTACTGTCTCAATAAAAACAAAAATGTGGCAGTGTTTTTATTTGGTTTATTAGCTTGATATTATGGTGTTAATTTGGGCTTAGGAGGCAGTAGCATCTTTTGTAAGAACGGTTGTATATTTGATTCATTGGGGTCTTCTGTGTGTCATAAGCTTTAAGTGCTTCCTTGACTATTGTGTCTGAATGTCTGTGATTGCCTGGTAGGCATGGGCTTTCCTTGTTTCTTATTTACTAGTCATTAAGGGAAGATCCCACTGCTCTGGTGCCTTTTGGGGAATGTGTTTTACAAATTGTCCAGCGTAGCATGACTGAATTAGGAATCTGGCAACTGAATCTTGGTGTAGGGATGGGAGTGGTGTTGGGTTGAGATGAACTGGTTTCACAGAAAGAAGAACCAAGCCTTGTCTTTGAATATGACTGCAAAAAACTGTGAAATGTAGCAATTCCCTTATTGCATCTGATTCACTGCTGTTAAAGCAGTATATGAATCCTTTCATGCACAGTGTCTTGGGATGATTTTATGATGTTATTTTATTTCCTAATCGTCTGCTTTATGCCCAGAAATGGCTGTTGTAGGTTTAAGATGGATCCAGGGTTGGGGTGGGGAGTGTCGGGTGCCTGCAGGACTTTTGTTCAAACCCTTACTCTCCAGTGTGCTTGGGTCAACCAGGATGTTGCATTGTTCTTTTTGTTGGATTAGTTTTTCATGCTGGCTTGAAGCTATAAGTTTCTTTTTTTTTCCCTTCCCCTGGCCTGAAGGCTGTAGAGGCTGTACCAGGAATCCCCTCAGCCTGCTTTTTTATTTTTTATTAAACAGTTTGGTTTTGTTGTTTTTTTTTTTCTTTTTCACCTTCACTCACTGGTATTCATTTCTCTCATTGGCAAATGGAATTATTGAAGCCCTTCTCTTCAGAGGAAATGCTCATTCCAGAGCATTTTCTGCTAAAATTTGTCTCTAAACTGAGACACAGTTTAGAAAATGTCTCCAAAGTTAAAATGAGTCACACTTCCTTGTGATTTCTTATCTTTTAAATAACTACATATAAGCAGTGTGAAATCCCCGTTGCCACATCTTGTATGAGATCTTGTGTTCTACTGTGCCATTATATTCTGTAGCTTGGAAAATTAAGAAGAGATCAATATTTGATTTTGTCAACACCTAGATATGAGCTGGAAACACACTTAAGCATAAAAGGAATGTGGTTATTTCAATGTGTGAGAAAAGGTCTATTAAACATCAACAACACAACAAAAGGGCTGAATAAGGAAAAAGGGACTGAATAAGGAAAAAGGGACTGAATAAGGAAAAAGGGGCAGCGTTGGGTGCTTGGCTGCAGACAGAGGCTTGTCCACAAAATGGTGGCTCTGCCTTTTATACCCCTGGTGCTGCATCAGCCAAATACATATTTGCAAATGGTCATACATATTCAAACATTTACTTTACGTATGTACATCTGGCCCCTCCCAAAGTCTGCCAGTTGACTCTGCTGTCCATGGGTGGAGACCTTCTTGCAGTCTGACTGCAGGTGAGCTGTTGCTGTGCCAAGTCCCCCCAGTGACAAGTTCCCCCAGTCCCACCTGCCCCATGTGAGAGGCACAGGAACACGTCCTCCCGTCCCATGTCCCTGACAGCCCTGACAACTAGGGTTGTCCAATGGCAACAACACAGAGGGAGGAAAAGGGGATTATAGGGAGAACAGTGGGTGTCCAAAACCAACCTACAGTAACACAGTTACACGTCAAAAGAACTTCAAATCTCAACAAAACTTCCCTTAACACACACACACAAAATCCATCTCTTGTTAGAGAAAATCATCATTCTACCCATCTTTAAAAAATGCTTTCAGCTATACCTTTCCTGTAATAATAATCCATTATAATCCAGATGTAATGCAAAAAGTCAAACTAAACCAGCCTACTCTTTTCATCCCAAATACACATGGTGCATGATCTTCTAATACTTTAGAAGTATTCTGATGTTCTTGATTTTTTTTTTTTTTTGTATAATAATTTTGCTATCTCTTTTCTGAAAGAGTTTGTAGTATAGACTTGTTTGCAGTAATGCACTGAGTTAGCAGTTACAAGCAATTTTGTGTCCTGACTGGTTATATTATTGCAGTGCTTAAAATACAGATTTTAAAATCCCTTCTCACTGGCATTTGGTCTATTTGTTTATTAAACACAGCAGAGGCCCAAGTTTGAATTATATTTGACAATACAGTAGATTTGTAGTGGTTTATCCCTGTTTGACAAAGGAAAAATGTAATCTGAGACATGGAAGTAT